TAAAGATATAATCAGTATATATCAAAGTCTTTGGTTGCAGTTTGTTTGTAGCATTGAATTGAATACTAATGACATTGATTGAAATGATTTGTGCATAGATATTGCTCAAATATTTTACTAAAATAATATAAGAGCATAGATCAAAGGCTTCAATTGCAATTTAATGAGAACATGGAAATGTCATCATTCTTGAACACTCTGTCTAGGAAGATGGTTTTAAGTAAACTTCGGTTTCACAACTTGACCTGGGAATGCTTAAGAAGTAGGGTGTTGATAGTGCAGGCTAGTTATAGCGCCACTTGATCTCCACCTGAAATGAGGCTGGCTTTCATATGTTGTCTTACCTCTAGAAACACTTGTTTTTTCAAATGTGTTGTATGTTCCCTCTCTACATAGGAATTGGGTCTCAGGTCCATTGTTGGTTAGGGCTGGGATCAAACTCGTGTTTGAGTCTGAGAGAATGGTAGTGACTCGTAGGGTGGAATATCTAGGAAAGGCTTATCTGCGTGGGGGGGCTGTTTGTGTTGCCCCTCATTGTTTATACTTCCCAAAACATTCAAACTTTTATGGATAATCTTGCTAGTCGCACTAGCGGTTCTGCGTATATTGCTATTTCTTTTGATGTATGGCATACTAGATTAGGGCATATTGGGTTTAAATGCATGAATAGACTAAAATCTACAAGTATGCTTTCAAATATGCAAAATGATTCATATTCCCAATGTGAAGTATGTGATGAGGCTAAATTAGCTAAAAAAAAAAAAACTGTTTCTTACTGTAAAGCATCATACTACATGCGCTTTAGAGTTAATTCACTCAGATATAGCTGACTTTAAGAGTGCAGAGACTAAAGGTGGAAAAAGATATTATATCTCCTTTATAGTTTATTTTACCCATTATTCAAAGTTATATCTAATTAGATCAAAAGATGAGGCAGAACAAAAATAAATAAATAAATTATCTTTAAAACGGAAGTAGAAAATCAGCTAGATAAAAGGACCAAAAGACTTAGGTCTGATAGAGGTGGGGAATACGAGTCCACATCTCTAAAATCCTTTTGTGAAAAACATGGTATCATCCATGAAGTGACCGCGCCTTATTCGCCACAACAAAATGGCATAACTGAAACAAAACTTTCAAAGAGATGATTAGTGTCTTCCTAATCAGCTCAGGCGCTTCAGCCTCATTGTGAGGAGAATCAGCCCTTACATCTAACCACATTCTCAACAGGATATACCCCATAAAGGGTATGAGAAGACTCCATATGAGCTATGGAAGGGTTATGCACTGAACCTGAAATACTTCAAAGTGTGGGGGTGTCTAGCAAAGCGGAGTCTCCCAACCTTTAAAAGGCCTAACATCGAGTCTAAAACCCAAGACACTGTCTTCATGGGATATGCAGAAAACAGTGTTGCATACAGGTTTATGTACCTGGACTGTTGGTCTATGTGCGAGGCACGAGAGACTGAGTTCTTCGAACACATCTTCCCACTAAAATTGGCCCCACCTGTCTCACAAGAAGGGGTGTCTTTACTACCTTCCTCATCTCAAATTGAGAACAAGGCAGAAGAGCATACCCAAAGGAGCCAAACCAATTGGTTGCAAGTGGATCTTTAAAAGAAAGTTGAGACTAGACGGGTCAATAGAAATGTTCAAAGCCAGGCTAGTAGCAAAGGGGTATAAACAGAAGTTTGGTGAAGACTACTTCTGCACATATTCCCATGTGACTAAGTTAGCCACGATTTGTGTGTTGTTTGCCTTGACCTCCTCCCACAACTGGCTAGTACATCAAATTGATGTCAAAACAGCCTTCCTAAATTGGGATCTAGAGGAAGAGATCTACATGGAGCAACCACCTGGGTTCATTGAACCAGGACAAGAGGGAAATGTTTGTAGACTCATAAAATCCCTGTACGGGCTAAAATAAGCCGCCAAACAGTTGTATGAGAAGTTTCATAAGACACTTATGGATCTGGGCTACACGCTAAACAGATCATATGCGTGTCTATACTCAAAAGAGGTAGACTCAAGTGTTGTGCTTATATGCATCTATGTGGATGACATGCTAATGTTTAGCCACAATATAGATGCTATAAAAGATACTAAACAGTTACTATGTGATAAGTTTGACATGAAGAATCTAGGGGGGGGGGGGGGGGGGGGGGGCCGATGTGATACTTGGAGTAAAAGTCATAAAATCCGAGAATGGCTACAAGCTATCACAAGGTCACTATACAGAGAAGCTATTAAGGAAGTTTAATCACTTCGAAGTGACTCCTGCACAAACTCCCTATGATCCGAGCGTAAAACTGTCGAAAAACACTAAGATGGATGTGTCTCAAGAAGAGTATGCAAAAATCATTGGAAATCTGATGTTCTTGATGAACTACACCAGACTAGATATCGCTCTTGCGGTAAATAGACTCAGTCGGTACACTCATAAGCCGAGTGACGCCCACTGGCATGCACTAAGAAGAGTGTTGCGATACTTAAGGGGCACAATCGACTAGGGGTTACACTATACTGGATTCCCAGCAGTCCTAGAGGGATACTGCGACGCAAACTAGGTGAATGACAGTAGTGATGTGAGCTCAACCAGTGGGTATGTGTTTACCATGGGTAGAGCTGCAGTGTCGTGGAAATCCACGAAACAATCGTGTATAACTAGATCGACGATGGAGGTTGAGTTCATAGCCCTTGATCTAGCTGGGCAAGAAGCAGAGTGGCTAAAAAACCTACTGGTAGACGTGCCATTGTGGGGGTGTGCTACACTATCTGTGCCCATACACTGTGATTCTCAAACTGCTACATGCGCAGCAAAGAACAGTGCCTATAATGGTAAGAGAAGGCACATAAGAGTCAGACATGAGTCTGTAAAGCAGTTGATTATGACTATGGTGCTCACATTAGAGTATGTGAATCTGAAAGGAATATCGCAGACCCTTTCACAAAATGACTAAACAGGAAGGCCATCCTAGATGCATCAAGAGAAATGGGCCTGAAGTCCATAAAGATAAGCAAGGCTTAAACAAGCACGAACAACTGAACACGAGGTGTTCTAAGTGAAAATCTACATACAAGTAGATCTCGAGTCAAAGAGTTTGACTCTAGAAGAACCTGCATAATGAGTGCTCCCACGTGCACATGAGTTCAAGACGAACTCCCCTTAGTTAGTTCAAGGTTAAATCCACTACTAAAGAGAAAGTCACTCAAGTCACTACGTGTCAGTTCAAGGTTAAAACCACTGATATTAAGGTCAGCGCTCACTTCCGCTCATACTTTTACTCCCATCACACTTGTTTGAATGTGTGGGGGATGTTGGAAATAACATTCCACCAAGTGAATGTGTGGGGAGATGAGTTTTTTGCTCATCCACAATAAATTGTGGAGTCAAATTCATTCCTATAATTGTGGTCCTCTCCACCTTTACTCTGATCTCCCCTCCTTTTGTGGATATTGAATGGCTGAGAGAGGAGGGGCATGTATTTCTATAGCTATAAATAATCTGTTCCTCCTAAAGTTCAAAACACACTTCACATTCATTTTCTTCTCTTCTACGATATCCTCTGAGCAGTCTGAGCACTTGAGTCAAGTTCTTTTGTGCTTTCTCTGTCTAACCGGTCGAAAGCATCCTGGCATACCCCGAGAATCTTTGCTTTTAAGGTAGTGTTTATACGGCACAGAATTTTCCTACCTACCTATCTAATTCAGTCTATATAAAAAGCAACAAGTCTGCTGACATTTTTTTTTTCGTCCTTAGTCCAACAACCAGAGGTGAATCCTAAAGCTAAGAGACTCAAGAAGAATGTATTCTTCAGCTTAGGAAATATAGCTGCGTATGAGGTGGATTGAAGATGATCAGGTGCTACAGTGGATATTTATAGGCAGGGTTCATGATCTTAGGTAAAATTGACGTGGGAGAACATGAGTGCTTTGTGGGCGGGCTGGAACATAATTATAAGGCTTGGGAAACAATGAGTTCGGCTTGGGTGAAATACTTATCAGGCTTGGGGAATCAATGATTTGGGCTTGGGCTTGGGCTTATAATAATAATAATAGTAATGATCATAGACTAGTCTCAATTATATTTTTGGGTTCAATTATGTTGTGCATGCAAGGTGCATACGGATGCAAAAATGACATCGTTTTGATTAAAAACGCACGTTCACTTAAAAAAAATCAGTTTTGATTCCCGGCAACAGCATTATGTTGTGTATAATTTGAACTATATATCCAGAATCAATGAACTAAAAATTCAGAATCAATGAACTAAAAATTCATAATCAATGAACTAAAAATCCATAATGAATGAACTAAAAATCCAGCATGAATGAACTAAATATCCAGCATGAATGAACAAAAAAATCAGTTTCGATTTCCGTCTAAAAATCCAGAATCAATGAACTAAAAATCCAGAATCAATGAACAACATAATGCTGTTGAGGGGAATCGAAACTGATTTTTTTTAAATGGAACGCGCGTTTTTAGTCAAAACGACGTCGTTTTTGCATTCGTGTGCACCATGCATGGTGCACACGGATGCACAGGCGCACAGCATAACGATTGTCAAACAATGATATAATATTAAGTTAGTAAAAGTCATGAGTCATAAAATAGTTTTATGAGTAAATACCCAAAATGGTCCCTCGACTATAGCTAAATTCACAAATTGGTCCTCAACTTTCAATTTCACCCAATTAAGTCCTTAACTTTGTAATTTTAACACAATTTGGTCCTCTGTCTATTTGACCATTTGTTGACTGTGATTTTTGAGGATATATATGTAATTTCATGGTCAATCGTCGGTTTTTAAGGTTCCGGTTGTATTTCCAGACCGCACTGTTACATTTGAATCCACTGTCGAAAGCAATCTACCAAACCCGGTCACCTTCTTCATCCTCCCTTTGGATTCAATGTAGTTGAATTCATACCAGAGCGAAGAAGACGATGTGTTTCCGAACCGGTGCAACGTCATCCTGGAGGCCTCCACGTGCTCCGACGAGAGCAAAAGGTTCATCTGGAGATCGTCGATCATGGTCAACAAACGGTCAATTAGATGGAGGACCAAATCGTGTCAAAATTGCAAAGTTAAGGACTTAATTGGGTGAAATTGAAAGTTGAGGACCAATTTGTAAATTTAGCTATAGTCGAAGGATCATTTTGGGTATTTACTCTAGTTTTATTTAGATTTTGTAGTGAAATAATTTGTTTTTGAAATCATAAATACCAACATATCCATGGTTTACCCCAAAAGTAATTTTATTTTTAGGAGTATTTCTATTAAAATAATATTGGTTAAAAGAACAGGGTATTACAATTTATTATCATTAAAAGAAGCTTCGTACCCGAAACTAAAACTATTTATGAATATCGAAATCAGGGTGATGTGTGATAAGAGGTGTTTGATCACAAGAAACTTGACCTTATAAGGGTAAAGGATGAGGAACTCGGTTCAATGTAAGGGACGATAACAATAGCAAACAGAGGCAATAGGCAAAAGCAAGCATTAAATCCTACCCTCTTAAATGATTCACGACATTTGGCCCTATCTGCTGAGTCATTGAGTCAGCGTGATTTACATCATTTCAAATATTTTGTCGGGCCAGGGTGCGGGACCTTGGGTTGGGGATTCATCATTTTAGGAGAAGAAAAAAAATTGGGGTGTTCACCTCCTTGTTGTGATATTTTGGTTAATAATAATAATAATAAATATAAGTAGAAATCTAAATAATAAATAGATGAGTGCGTAAGAAAAATATGACGTGACATCCTAATAAGTTATGACCTAATGCTAACTTGTTATAGGAGATAAAATGGTTTCAGTTGCATTCTATTTACATATTTAAAGGTGTATATGGATTTTTTTTTTTTAAAAAAAAAACATAATGACAAAATTGTGTTCTTTTTTAAATAGTTGAAGATCTATTATTTGACCTTTACCTCAAAAAATAAAGAACTTCTAGGGTCGTCCAACCTAAGTAAATTATGGTTTGATTACGTATTAGCAATCCAACTTAAACTAACTCTAAAGCAACTTGCCTCATAATCCAAGATAAATCACTTAGCACGTACTTAATTGTTAAGATCGAGTAAATAAGAAAATCGTAATAAAAAGATCCAACAAGCATCTCGCCCATTAACCAACCAATTAATATAGAGATCATTTTACCCGCATGGGCAGCTCAACTGGTCATAGAGGTGAAACTTTGGAAGAATGACCAGGGATCGAGTCTCACCAGCCACAGTGAGGGGGGTTCCTTGTGCACAGTGAACACCGGTCTAGCCTCTGTGGTTCATGCTCAGTTAAGTTACTATGATTTACATCCTCTCAAATACTCTGTCGGGTTGGGGTTCTTCCTTTTGGAAGAATATAGAAATCATTTAATTTGCAAATGTGAACATATACTCTCCATCCCTATCAAATATTGGTTTTAGTCATGTTTGAACATTCAATAAAAATTGATGATCGCTGAATATAAGGACCAAATTAACAGAATTACTGCATGAGAAAGAGGTGTGTCCAATTTGTATATTTGAGTCAATAGAAATCAGTAATTGGATAGTTGGAGATATTATGGAGGTAGACGCAACTCAAGGTTAGAACTTTGAAGATACAATTGGAGTCAAGAATAGGACAATAGGTCTTCCAAGGGGCAATTGAACTCAATTGACCGCCACGTTCCCTCGTCAACATACCAATGACCACACAAACTATAACTTGAAATGAAGCAAATACTCTTCATCTTAATTACATTTACTTCTTTTTTTAACAATAATTTGTTGTTATTAAAACATTTTTTAATAACCTAAGTTTCCCGACTTTGCAACAATATCTTGGACCTCATGAATCCGTCTCAAACCCATAAAAGAGGTAAATCAAACCATTCTATCTTCGGTACTCAACATCAAGTTGTACTATTTTACGCAAAAAAAAAAAAAAAAAAAAAAAAAAAAAAAAAAAAAAAAACTCATCTAATTAAAACTCAAACCCCAAAACCCCAATGTCATTACAACATTCATACCGGCTATAAAGCGATAAAACTCCTTAATTTTGAGCATATCGTTACATCATCGTTAATAGTTATAATGACCGTTGATTTTGACTAGATTAATAGTTGAGATTTCACCTTATTTTTTACTTATGAACTCCTTCAATTCACATTTGATCTTTAGCGAAGAATGAAGAATTTTTTTAATTTTTTTTTTTAAAACAAACTCAGTATTATGGTAATTTTGTGTAAGTTTAAAGCTTAAGGTGCGTAAGTTTATATGCATAAGTTTATAGTTTACTGGGCCTAAGTTTATAGGTTAAGGTGCATAAGTTTATAGCTTAAGGTGCGTAAGTTTATAGCTTTAGGCGTCGAAGTTTAAAGCTTAAGGTACTTAAGTTTAAAGCTTAAATTGTGTAAGTTTATAGCTTAAGGTGCATACGTTTATAACTTAATGTGCGTATGTTTAAAACTTAAGGTGCATCACTTTCTAGTTTAAGGTGCATCACTTTAATTCTTAAGGTGCACGACTTACCGACTCTAGGTGCATAAACTTTAAGCTTAAGGTGCATCAGTTTCCAACTTAATGTGCATGAATTCAACTCTTAAGGTGCACAACTTTAATTCATTAGGAATATCGACTTCCATACACTAGGTGTATAAATTTAAAGCTTAGGGCATCCTCAATAGTTGGTGATTTTTTTCTAGATTTTTGTGGGCCCCAACCTCCACCTCATCATCCACCATCTCACTCGATCACAAAAACTCTTCTTCCCATTAGTTTTAAATTTTTTCATAACTTTTTGTGGACCCACCATTTACTACTACTACATTTAATTATTTTTTTATTTATTATCATTATACAAATTATTATTACGATTATTATTTTATTATATTTAAATTATACATATTAAAATTAAAATAAATTTAAAATTATAAGTGTTTTCAGTTTTTATAAATTATAATTTTATCACATAAAAATTTAATAATAAAATTTAACATGAAATACATAAAAAAAATAATAAATAATAATAATAATAATAATAATAATAATAATAATAATAATAATAATAATAATAATAATAATAATAATAATAAGAAAAGAAAGAAAAGCAGCTGGCCAACGCCAGCTTTAGAAGCAAAAAGAAAAAATGAATAATATAATGAGTTTTAAAAAAAAAAAAAAAAATTAATAAAATGAATTTCAATTGAGAGTTGGTAGTTACCCTCAATTGAAATTCGTCCCAGCCTTAGGACTTCCACGTGAGATACGCATCTCACTATTTTTATTTTTTTTCTGACAAAATCTCCATTCTTATAGGAAGAATGAACTATCTAAAACCTTTTTCCACATTTGTTAAGAACCCCTTCACTTAGTTTTTACTATTTGGAAATTCAAGAATAATCCCCTTTTGGGGATGCTCTTAAGGTGCATTATTTTTCAGTTTAGGTACATTAATTTGAAATTTAAGGTGCATCAGTTCAGTACTTAAGGTGCATCACTTCGAAACTTAAGGTGCATTAGTTCAGTACTTAAGACACATAATTTCGACACTTAAGGTGCATAACTTTGAAGATTTAAGGTGCATCAGTTCAGAGCTTAAGGTGCATCAGTTCAGAGCTTAAGGTGCATAAATTCGACACTGAAGGTGCATCAGTTCGAGACACTTAAGATCATTCGCATCCATGTTGCCAGGAAGCGCATTTAAAAAAAAAAAAAAAAATTCTTCATTTTGAGTCGTTGATCTAATCTAGATCAACGACTCAAATCTCACCCCATTTTTCACCTGGAGACCCTTAGCACGTGAACCATATATATGGATCATGGTCTATAATATAATTGGCCATCAATGATACTAAAGAGTATTGGAAAAAATAGTTAAAAATGACATTGTAAGTGGCTATTTTGTGGTACAAATATATGTGGGGTCCACTCTCGATTTGGGTTGGGTCAAAGTGGATTCGGCTTCTTCGTAATGAGATGAAGAGATTGCTATATTGTACGCTCAAAACAGATAATGAGTGAATGAGAAATTGATTTTTCAAAGTAGTTCTATTTGAACCAACATGGTTGGCGTGGTGGTTCAGCACCTCGTCCCTTAAGCATGAAGTTGGGGGTTCGATCTCCACCCATGTGAATAGAGCTCCCCTACCACTTAGTGTGGGACGGGGGATCTTCTGGTTATCGGATGGAGGGATACCTTTAGCTGAAGTCTTCTTCTTTCGCTGGCTCTGCGGGCAAAGTTATGCCAACTTTTCGAAAATATTTTCCAACTCCTTTGCCACTGTCTTCTTTCGCTGGCTCTGCGGGCAAAGTTATGCCAACTTTTCAAAAATATTTTCCAACTCCTTTGCCACTGTCCGAGCAGTAACTACTCGGACTTGGGGACCATTCAGTCATCTGATCGAAAGGTCATGTATCGCAAGTCGTAACCTTCCGGGAACCATTCGGAGTAGTTACCTTTCGAACTACTCACTTTCGAACCACTCTTCGAGTACTGTTTGGAGTACCATTCTGAGTATTAATTCTTATGTTACGAAATTAATTTCAATTTAATTCAAATTTTGAATTTGAGAATTAATTCCCAAGTTAATGGTTATCTGGTATGGAGTTTACAATGACTGTTTTTTTTTATCAATTTTAATGCAATGGTTAAATGTTATTTAATCCTTCAACTCCTATATAAGCCTTGGATGGGCAGAAGAATTTTTAGCAAGATATACAAGCTACATTTTGCTTTCTCTCAAACCCCTGCTCATCTTCCTCCTTCTTCCTGTGTTCAAAATCAAGTTCTAGTTCGTCGGGCACTTTTGTTTGAGTGCTTAAACATAGAGTCAAAGCTTGTTTTATCCTAGGAAACCTAGGCTACATCGCTCCTAGCATTTTCGGTAAGTAACAAATAAGGTTTTAAGGACAGTATGAGTATCACACGGCTCAAGCTTACCCTTAACCTTTCATTTTTGTGCTAGTTAATTTTGTGGAAATAATCCTTTCCGTAGGATTAAATTCCTAACAAGCTTAAAATCTTATTTTCCTTATTTTTACCTAAAAAATGGAAAACCCCATATTGCCAATCAACAACAATTGCGGCAAAATTTTTGGAAACAACGGTGGGAGCGACAACAATGTTGCACATTCCTAAGCATCGATGAACATTGGTTCACTGTCTGGTGGGAGCACCAAGGGGTACATCCCCACGATGTTGGTACCAAATGGTTTAGGTGAAAAACAAGAGAAGTTCAATGGATCAAACTTCAAAATGTGGCAGCAAAGCATGATGTTTTACCTGGCAACTCGCAGCTTGGCAAGGTTCTTGACCGAGAGGGTTCTTGAGATGAGGAACAGGATGTACAATCCATGTTTGCGGTGGACGCATGGAAGAATTCTGAATTCCTTTGCCGAAACTACATACTCAACGGGTTGTGTGATGCTCTATACGATGTATATTGCAAAATCAACACAGAGAAAGTGTTATGTGAAGCCTTGGATCACAAGTACAAAAGCGAGGATGCCGGTGCAAAGAAATTTGTTGTCAGTCGATTTCTTGACTATAGAATGGTTGATTCCAAGGTCGTGCTTAGTCAAGTTGAAGATTTAGAATTAATCTTTGATGATATTTGTGACGAAGGCATGGTAGTGAGTGAAGCCCTCACGTTAAGGCATAGTGGAAGGACTTCAAGAATTACCTTAAGCACAAGCGAAAGAAATGAACCTGGAGGACTTGATCCAACAACTTCGGATTGAGGAGGGCAACCGGAAAAATGATAGGAAGTGTCCTGTCGTTGGTGGCTCTAAGGACAATGTTTTGAATCATGGTAAGAGCTCCAAAAATGCCAAGAAGGACAAACAGAAGCTAGGTCCGAAGGGAGGCGTTACCAAAACAAAGTTTTATGGTAAATGCTTCAACTATGGCAAGAATTGCTACAAGTCATCTGATTGCAAAGCTCCAAGGAAGAAGAACAAGAGTTCTGAAGCCAACGTTGTTGGAGAAAGCAGTTAGAAGGAAGCTGAGATCAACATTTCGGCTATGGTGACTGATGTGAACCTCGTGGGTTCCAACCAGCGTGAGTGGTTCATCGATACCTGTGCAACAAGGCATCTATGTTGCAACCTTGAGCTGTTAGCACCTTTTAGACTGTTAAGAGCGAGAAGGTGTGGATCGAGAACTCTGCTCAGTCCGTTGTGGAAGGCGTGTGCAAGGTGGTTCTGAAGATGACTTTTAGGAATGAACTAACGTCGAACAACGTGCTATATGTTCTAGATCTGTGGAAGAATCTAGTGTCTGGGTCATTGCTGAACAAGCATGGTTTTAGAATGGTCTTTGAGTCAGACAAATTAAAATAGTTTTGTCAAAATTAAGAATGTTTGTTGGTAAAGGCCATGTAACTGATGGGTTTTTTAAGCTTAATGTAATGCATGTTATCATGAATAAAAGCAAAGTTAATTCTGTTTACTTGCTTGAGTCTTCCAATTTATGGCATGGTAGACTAAGTCATGTTAATTTCAATTCTATACATAGATTAATTAGCATGAACAATCTTCCTACATTCCAAATTGACACAAATAATAAGTATGAAATTTGTGTTGAGGCAAAACTAAGGCACCTTTCAAATCAATTGAAAGGCAAACTAAACCACTTGAATTAATCCATAGTGATTTGTGTGGTTTCAAATTTATTACAAAATGAACCGGATTTTCTAACATGTTTGTAAGAGAATGAGCATCGAACGTATGTAGAAGGCGAGAATTCTACTGAAGGACTAATGTGGAAAGAGGCTATTAAGTGTGAATTGGATTCTATTCTACAAAATCACACGTGGAAACTTGTTGATCTTCCTCCGGGTGGTACACCCTTAGGATCCAAGTGGGTCTTTAAAAGGAAATAAAATTGGATAGTTCTATCGAGAAGTATAAGGTTAGGCTTGTAATTAAAGGCTACAGGCTATGCGAAGGCCTTGATTATTTCGACACGTATTCTTCCGTGACGAGAATAAATTCCATTACGATGATACTTGTCATGGACGCATTGCGGAATTTGGATGTTCACCAAATAGATGTGAAAATTGCTTTCTTAAATGAAGAGTTAGATGAAGAAATTTATATGGAACAATACCCAAAGGGTTTGTGGTTCTGGGCCAAAAAAAAAAGAAAGTGTGTAAATTGGTTAAATCGCTATATGTTTTAAAATAAGCACATAAACAATGGCACTAGAAGTTTGACCATGCGATGTTAACTAATGGATTTAAGATAAACGAGAGTGACAAGTGTGTCTATGTTAAGAAAACGATAGACGGTTATGTCATTCTTTGTTTATACGTAGATGATATACTCATCATTGGTAGTAACAATCAGATGATCAAGTCTATCAAAAACAAGTTAAATTCGAGATTTGACATGAAGGATATGGATTTTGCTTATTTAATCCCCGGGATTAAAATGATTAGAAGACCTGATGGTATTTTTTTAAGCCAAACGTATTATGTTGATAAAAACCTTTAAAAATTCAACAAGGATGATAATCAAGTAGCTAGGACACAATTTAATACAAGCGTTTTACTATCCAAAAATCACAAAGAGTGTATTTCTCAAGTAGAATACGCTCGGATTATTGGCAGTTTAATGTATGTAATGAGTGGTACTAGGCCAGACATTGCCTTTGCAGTTAGTAAACTTAGTAGATATACGAGTAACCCCAATGATATGCACTAGAAAGCAATTGTGAGGATTATGAGATACCTAAGGGGTACTCGTGACCTTGGACTACACTATACAAGATATCTTGTTGTACTTGAAGTGTATAGCGACACTAATTGGATATATGATATTAAGAACTCTAAGTCCACAAGTGGCTACATGTTTACGTTAGCCGGTCAGTCGTCACATGGAAATCCTCGACGCAAACCTCGATAGCCAAACCCACGATGGAATCTGAGTTGATAGCTATAGACAAATGTTGTAAAGAGGCTTAGTGGCTGCCATTTTCTCGATGATATTCCTAGTTGGGAAAGATATGTACCTCCAATATGTGTGCATTGCGATAGTCAAGCCACAATTGGCAGAGTACGGAATAATATGTATAATGGTAAGTCTAGACATATACGTCGTAGACATAATACCATTAAGAAGCTTCTTACAACTGGTGTTATCTCTGTTGACTACGTAAAGTCAAAGGATAATATACCTAATCTGCTAACCAAAGGGCTGAGCAAAGAAGTTGACACGAAGAATGGGTCTAAAGCGCTTGGAATAAAGTTCTAGTGGATACCCAACTTAGTTGTCACATAGGTTCAATGAGACAACTAAATTATGGAATGAAGTGTGTCACTGTAGGGGTCTCGGCCTCCCTACCATTCCTCGTTAGAACAGTGACTCCCACACAAGGTTAGCACATCGATGCTTTAATGATTCGAATGTCGGTTGACATTTTTGAGTATGTGGGATACTCGAAAAAGATTCACCTATGTGAGAAAGGAGTGGGGTCGCTTCAAATGAGAATTGATTGGGCTCAATTATTTAGAAACTCTTGTAGAACCAAGAACGGTAACCCATGACCAAAATATGCACAGTCATGAAAACATAACATGGTTGGACGATCCTGTGTGGGATATATCATTGTCTACACAAATGGAAGTCGGTTCAAAGACATCATATTCTACCGAACAACCAGTAGAGTAAATATATCTTCACAAGGGAAGGTTCAAAGAATAACACCTACCTATCCTATGCAGGGATCGCCGTTGAACGAAGTCGCTTCATTTTGAAAATAACCCCGAAAATCAATTTTCATTCATGTGGTGGATTGTTGAAAAAAAATCTAAAAATGACATTGTAAGTGGCTATTTTGTGTGACAAATATATGTGGGGTTCACTTCCGATTTGGGTCAGATCAAAGTGGAGTCGGGTTCTCCGTTGTGAGACGAAGAGATTAATATATTGTATGCTTGAAATGGATAATGTGTGAATTAGAAATTGACTGTCAAAGTAGACCCATTTGAGTTGGAAAATGAAAGTGGAAAGGCTTATAACTTATAAGTAGCCTTTGTCCTACATTGGACAAAGAAGTGGATTCGCACCACTATATATACAAGACCCTTTTAGAGGAATGTTGAATTGTATAGCATAGAAGCTCTCTCTCGCGTGTAGGGGGTGCAAATCAA